TTTAAAGGTCAACTTCAGAAAACAATATATTTTATACTCGACATGTTGATGCCCAAGTCTTATTACCAAATTTTGGGCCGCACACAAGTCAGATTTGGGGAAAAAATTACCTGATCTTATGTATTTATATGCATATATTTTTTTAAAAATCACATTCATAAAAATTTAATATAAAATTTAAAGAATAACAAAAATATTATAAAGAAAATGAAAAAGAAAGGTATGAATTGAATTGGCCTGGGTCTAGTTTGACTGGGTCCAACATATATAAACTTGATTCTTGACCTGATTAGTGTGACCTTAATTTAATTCAATTTGTTGCGACAATTTAAACCAATACAACTTGACTTTTTTTATTTTATTTTAATAGTTGGATCTGTTTGAATTGATTGGGTTTGTCAGAGGGGCAGTTCTACTCTGGAGTATAATATCAACCCCTTGTGCTTGTGTAGAAAACCCGCCCTTAGAGAGTCAATATATGCAGTTTGACGAATAGAGTTGGTGAATTTGAACCATAAGGGTTTTTTTTATTTATTTATTTTTTATTTTTTTTATGAAATTGAAATATAGTACAAGGGGCTTCTTACATTTTTTGTCCTAAAAAAATATCAAGTGAGATACAGTGTGTTTCTGGCAATTTTTAATGTGTAGAATTAGCTGCAGTTGCTAATTTGTTTACTTATTATAAATTCATAGTGGTTCTCAAACTATCTTTTTCATCATTTACCTTTTCTCAGGTTGAGACTGTCTTCCATGAATTCGGTCATGCACTTCAACATATGCTTACTAAGCAAGATGAGGGTCTAGTTGCTGGTATTAGAGGGATAGAGTGGGATGCTGTTGAGTTACCTTCTCAGTTCATGGAAAACTGGTGTTACCATAGGTAAGTAAATGTGTCCACGTGAGGTTTATACCCTTGTATTACTCGAATGTTAGTCTCATCCTTCCTTTTATCACAACCAAAGTAAAGGAAGGGCTTTGTATGTTATTCCCAACTGTATATAATTTTTTGTTTGTCCTTGCTTTTATATTCAACGTTTCAACTTCTTTCCACTTCGTAGTCTTGTCTCTTTTGAATGACCTAATCTAATCTATTTTAACCCCTAATATGAAGTGGCATGTTGCATAATACTATTAGTATTCTCTGTTCATTATTAGTATCTTCTGTTCTTAAGTAAAATTATGGTCTTTTAACCAGAGCATCATGTAGTTCATATTTATGACATTTTCTTGTTGCTTTAGGGAAACTTTAATGGGCATTGCAAAGCATTTTGAAACTGGGGAGAGTCTCCCTGAAGAAGTATATTTGAAGCTTGTTGCTGCTAGGACTTTTCGAGCTGGCTCTCTAAGTCTTCGACAGGTCAGTAACTCAGTATGAATGTATTGGTTGCTCATTCCTTTCTGTATTTCTATTTGAAAGTTGCATATGTTACACCCATTAACTTATTGTCCCTGTCTTGTTCACCGTGACATCTTATGGAATTTGTACAATCAAGCAGAGCTACTTCGTTTCAAGTTCAGAACTTTATTATGTGATATTTAGTTTGATCTTGTGGGTTTAGTAGTCTAAACAGCCTGCATCAGTATGGGTACTTGGGGGTTCTCCCACCCTATTATTTCATTTTCTTTTACATAAATACAGTGCCAAGTCAATCCCACTCTCCCCACAATAAAGTCTGCACAATGGCTTTACTTTGTTACCTCTTATATTTTTTCTCTGCACTCTCCGTAGCTGCTTGTTTCTAAAGGATGGAATAAAATTGATTCATGATGCCATTAGTTTTTGTTTTTTTCCCAAATTTTTTGTTACAATTACATTTCTTCATAAATGCGTTTTCTTGGGTTCTATTATTCTTTAGTGAACCAACTAGTTTGTAAGACTTCAATGTTCTATTTTGTGTTCCTTGTTTTTAATTCCAAAATTGACCTTTCTTGTATTCTGTTACGTTTACGTTTTAAATTATGTTTTTCCCTTGATGCCATCTAATCTATGACCATAAATATAATTTGCAGTTAAAATTCGCAAGTGTAGATCTGGAACTTCATACAAAATATGTTCCAGGGGGACCTGAGTCAATCTATGATATTGACCGCAGAGTTTCTGAGAAAACTCAAGTGATTCCTCCATTACCTGAGGATAGGTTCCTTTGCAGCTTCAGCCATATATTTGCAGGTTTGCCGTGCCTCTTGTTTCTCTTGGTAGTTATGCAAGTGTTTCAACAAAACTAAATTTATTTTTTCTTGGTTTTGCATTTGTTAGGTGGATATGCAGCTGGATACTATAGCTACAAGGTATGTTCTGCATTGCTTTAATGATGATAGACATTTCTCGTGTCTTGAGGATCTCTGTTGGATGTGTATTCCACTTTTTTTCTTTTATGATAGAACTCTCCCTGTCCCTCCAATAAGTGGAAAATGATTTATATCTTATGAGGGGTTTGTCTGTTATGCAGTGGGCTGAGGTGCTGTCTGCAGATGCTTTTTCTGCATTTGAGGATGCTGGATTGGATAATGACAAGGTATATTTTTACTTTTTTACTTTTTTTTTTTTGGGGGGGGGGGGGGGGGGGGGAGGGTTTCTTTCCACTTT